CTCTAGAAAACAAAATTTTAAGCTGTCACCACAATGGATCCTCACCACAATGGATCCGACGCCATGTCAGAGCCCTTGGGGCAGACGTGTGTAGTGACCTGTTCCCAAATGGCTTTAAATCCACTCCGACTTCGGGCAGTCAGAGGCTGAAGCGAGGCACGCGTGGCCAAATCATCCAACTCTTCACCCGGACCAGAGGGCCTAGGGGGTTCTGGGCAAAGCAACTTCCAACACGTCTGGTCTGTGCCCTACTTCATGGGTGACATATGCTCTGCTCCTGTCCCACGTCTGGCATTCCCCTCAGTGGTGCAGGTGGGAAAGGGCTGAGAAGCCATGTGTGTCTGGAGGAAAGTTCATAATAGGTATTGAGCGACACTGGACAGTAGAAAAGCAGGAGCCGGGGCTGGGCAAACAATGCCTCTGTCCCTCATCCTGGCCAGACTGTCACCATTGGCCACTGCTGTTGAAATGCTGCCTGATTTGGAGATGACGCAACAGAGTTGACACAGCTGGGGTCCAGGCAGGCGGGGAGGCGGGCGTGATGGAGGGAGCTCCACCACGAGCTGGAGGGTCCGGCCTTTTGGTGGTTTTTGTTTTGTTTTGTTTTGTTTCTTAATTTTTTTAAAAAAAAAAAATCATAGCTCACAGACAACAAAAGAAGGAGATAACTTAAAAGTTTCTATGGAAAACACCTCTCGCCTTTCAGATCTGGTGCTCATAAAACACGATCCAGTTTGGGGGGCCGACAGCAGCCCCCCGGGGTTTTCGCAGCCGGCCTTTGCAGGCTGTCACAGTACTTCGCAGCCCGCGGGTTTGCTGAGCCTCTGCTGGCGCTGAATCAGAGCATCCTGCTGGCCCTTCATTCGAGCTCACTCTCCCTCCCGGAAATCAAATTTTTTTATTTTTTTATTTTTTAGCCACCCTATGTCATCATCGCTCCGTTAAACGTTCAAAGACCTTACATCCTCTAAGTCCGTTTGCCAAAGTGATTTGACTTCAAGTTGTTCCCTAAAACAGTCGGGGGAAGACAACTCCAGCCAAATAAGTTTAGAAACGCCATACAAGAGACTTTTCTGAGAGAGTCGCATTGCACGTTTGCACTTAAGGAGCGATGACCAGTCCTAGTTACCAGACCTTCTCGAACCTACCTGGCTTTACGCCCTCCACACAGGACATCTGGCAAACACAGCATTCCAAACAGCAGTCGCTGAGACACGGCGCCCTAAATCCTGCTTGAGCACACCACGAAGCCCCACACTGCCCACCCAGATTGTGCTCTGGGGGCTTTGTGAACCCAAATGCAAGACCCAACAGTTATTCCTGGAATGCATCGTCTCATTATGTCAGCCCCACCCACCCCGCCTGAGAGGTCTTCTTGGAACTGGATTCTTAGAACCGTATTTGTCTTGGACTCACATCTCTCCAGCAAATGCCTCCACAAGCACACACACACGTCTGCAGGAAGAGGGTAGCCTGCAGGTGAAGCCAGGCCCCCAGCACGGCCAGTGGAGCCCGACATGTACCACTCCTCCTGGGGGACCACGCTCTGGCAAGTCCCTGCTGGAGCATTGGGGATGAGTTTTATGTGGTTCCCAAGGGGATGCATTCATCAAAGTTGCTTTTCCATCGAATGGCCCCAAAGTGAAAAGGAGTCGCTGGGAAGTTGAGTTATGACCTAATGCCAGTAGCAGCTGCTGGTAACTCTGGGGTAGGGGCGGGGGAAGGGGGGTAGCTAGTGTCTGGGAGTTGGGGGCTCATTAACACTCAGTTCTTAAATTAGCAAATCCTCCTAGCACGCTTTTAAAAATAGCAACCTAATGGTTTCTAAAATTAGCAGTCATTGCTCTCCATAAATATTTAGACCTCCAATAAACTTCTAGTCCACTTCCCTAGACTAACGGGGTCAAGCGGGCTTAGCTTTTATGCCATATTCTTTAGGATCGGTGTACTTAACGGTTGACCTTGACAAGCAAGGGCTGGGAGAGGCCTCAGAATGCCCTAGACCGGGACAGCCTGTGTGACCATCAGCCAGGAGGCAACCTCAGGCGGGATTGGAAGGCTCTCAGGGGCCATTTGGAGAAGCCGGCCGCCTCTGGCTACCTGGAGGAACGAACCGTCTTGCTTTTTGCCTGGGACAGTCCCGATTTCAATGCTTAGAGTCCCCTTTCCTGGGCAACCTCTCTGACCCCAGCAGAACAGCTGGCCCCCTGGCCACTGAACCACGGCAGTGGGATGGAGGCCGGCGTGTTGGGGTACCTTCCGGGAGGAGAGTCACCTCCCCAGAAAACACTGATGATACTATCCTGCCCCTCGCAGTAACTCCAGACCTACTGACTCGAGAAAGAGAAGTTTGAAGGAGGAAATAAACCACGGAAAGTACTCGACAGGCCAGGCGTAGAATTTCACCAGGTTCTCCCAGTGTAAAACAGGGCGGCCACAGATGTGGCTTCACTGGGTCATCGTGCGGAACAAGCTGGGCAGCCTATGCCAGCGACAGTGCAGCGCCTGGCATCGCTCAGGCCCAATAAATGGGCGCTTTCGGCGTCGGCTCTGCTCAGACGCCCAGTGCATGGGGAGGTCGGCTGGCGGAGCTCGGGCCCCACGCGCCCCAGCGGCCTCCTCCGTGGGCGCCAGCTCCTCCCCCGCAGTGAGCGCCGGACAGCCGGCCTCGGCCATCCCTAGGCGGCAGACACTGTGGGGGCGAGGTAGGGGGCGTCTCCCCGACCCCGCACCCAGCACCTGCGCAGAGAGCTCACTTGCTGAGTGGCGGGAAGACGTCCTACAGAAAGCCAGCATCGCCACAGGACGCACGTGGCCAATCAGCATGAAGTGCTTGTGAGAAACTGGATGCTGAACAAAGAATCATTTCACACGTCTGCAGGAAAACCCTGACCCCACCCCACGACCCCCCACCGAACCTCCGCATGTCCCGTGTGGCACCGTGTTGCTTCGTTGTCACCTAGTTTTGTTTGTTTGTTCTCCAGGACAGAACGATGCTAGGACATTTAAGCCTTGTATGCATTTTGAAATCCATCTTCTTAAAAAAAGGTGGTGGTGTAGGCGCTCAGTGGAAGTGTCACTTGTCTGTGTTATTAACCAAATCCTTCGCTGCGGTTTGGTGGCAGAGTCCTTCACAACAGGCCCAGAATTAAAGACAAGGCCTGTGGGATGCAGGACAGTTCACGGCAAGGTCTGGCATTTGCTCCGCGCGGCCGTAAGGGCAGAACTGTCCTCCGCTCTGAGAGGCGGAAGCGGGTTTTGCCTACTGACCTCTTCACCTGTGCTGGATGCTGAAGCGACTCCAGTCGGCACAGGAGTTTTCTTTCTCTCCTTCCAGAACCAGGAGACACTTGGGGGCCATGAAGTCCTGTTCCCTCATTTTGAAGAGGAGGAAACTGAGCCCCAGAGAGAGGCCCCAAGTCACCCAGTGGGTGGGGGCAGACACGGTGCCCGGGCAGGAGAGAGGCGCTAGTGGCGTCCCCTTGGGCACTCGCGCTCACTCCCTCCCTGCCTCCCAAGATTTCCTGAGTGTCCCCTATGTGCCTGGCACAACAAAGGTGCCGGGTCCTTGCTCCCAGAAGGAGTTCTGGATGTTACCATGGTTAGAATTTTTTTTAACCTCTGAAATGGCTCTGAAAGCCAGCTGTTCCGCGTAACAAGCTGGTGTGAGCGGAGGCGCCCAGCTGGGAGGGGAGAATCGGTGGTTTGTGATCCCGGCTGCAGCACCTGAGGAGCTGGTGACTTTGGTAATTCCTGTCCCCTGGTATCGGTGAACAATCTCTAAGGTCACATCCAGCTCTGGGATTCTGGAAGACAGCGTCGGGCTTGCCCCTGGGTGCTAAACCCATCCTATCTGAGCATGGAGTCTCTCATGTTCAGAAAATGTTTTTCTAAATGTTTCTAAGGGTATTTTCTTTTTTCTTTTTTAGGCGAGGCAACTCTTGGTTGACCTCATAGATTGCAAGGACCTTGTCAGCTTACAATCCCTTATTTATTTTTTACGCTTTCAGCACCTGGTCTTCCTAGGGGGTCTCCCATCCAAGTACTAACCAGGCCCGACCCTGCTTAGCTTCCGAGATCAGACCGGATCGGGCTTGTTCAGGGTGGCGTGGCCGTAGATGTAAGGGTATTTTCTAAGTCATGAGCAGCACACACCTTAACACTTGTCAGTCCGTTTGTTGACTTAATTGAAGTGATTACCGCCGGAATAGAACGAAATGAGATTTGAATGCAGCAGAAGTATTTGAGGGCGGATGCAGATGGGACTTCCCACGTGTGATTGGTTAGCACTCAGAGATCCGAAATGGGGGTCTGGCGTGCCCTTCCGTGGGGTCCCCGACCAGCGCAGGCCAGCCAGACTCCCCCTGTCATGCCTTCCAGCCAGTGTCACAGAGGAGCCGCTTATTTTCTTCACCCAATGAAGTCTCAGAAACTATTCTCGCATGTTAATTATCATACCAACTGCCTATGGAAAACTCAGTTTCAGTGGCAGAAATAAATAAACCAAGATAATATTTAACCCATTTCCTTTCTCTCCCCGCCGCCCCGGCCGGCTTCATCAGGACTCCTGTGGGCGCCTGAGCGAGCGTGGCGGCCACCCGGCGGGGCCATGGCCAGCACGGCCGTGCAGCTGCTGGGCTTCCTGCTCAGCTTCCTGGGCCTGGTGGGCATCCTGATCACCACCATCCTGCCGCACTGGCGCAGGACGGCGCACGTGGGCACCAACATCCTGACGGCCGTGTCCTACCTGAAGGGGCTGTGGATGGAGTGCGTGTGGCACAGCACGGGCATCTACCAGTGCCAGATCTACCGCTCGCTGCTGGCGCTGCCCCGCGACCTGCAGGCGGCCCGCGCGCTCATGGTCATCTCCTGCCTGCTGTCCGGCGCGGCCTGCGCCTGCGCCGTGGTGGGCATGAAGTGCACGCGCTGCGCCAAGGGCACGCCGGCCAAGACCACCTTCGCCGTGCTGGGCGGCGTGCTCTTCATCCTGGCCGGCCTGCTCTGCCTGGTGGCGGTGTCCTGGACCACCAACGACGTGGTGCAGAACTTCTACAACCCGCTGCTGCCCAGCAGCATGAAGTTCGAGATCGGGCAGGCCCTGTACCTCGGCTTCATCTCCTCGTCCCTGGCGCTCATCGGCGGCACCCTGCTTTGCCTGTCCTGCCAGGAGGAGGCGCCCTCCAGGCCGTACCAGCCTCAGCCCAGGGCCACCACCAACACCGCAGCCACTGCGCCCTCCTACCGACCACCCGCCGCCTACAAGGACAACCGGGCCCCCTCAGTCACCTCGGCCTCGCACAGCGGATACAGGCTCAACGACTATGTGTGAGTCCTCAGGGCCTGTCCCTCCCTGAGCCCCAAAAGACACTGGGACCCAGGACCCCCGCACAGAATTGACTTCTGGGCTGCTCGTGTGCCCAATGGGATAAAGTGAACGTGGAGAGTGGGCTTAGAACACAGGGGAGGGGGAAGTGAGAAGAGGGGAAAAGCTCTGTACACCGATCACTTAAAAAAAAAAAACCTTCTGTTTTTATATTTATTATATGTATTTATGTGGGTGATTTCATAACGGATGAATTCAAAGTGACTCGGGAGTTCGGTGAGCAAGATTCGTTCGCAATCCAGGAATAAACCTTTTGGATGTGGTTGTTTATGAAATGCATAGTATTCATTTCTGTTTCCAGACGGTTATTCTATGTGCTCAGGGGCTGGTGACACACTCAGCACAGTGTCGGGGCTCCACGTCGCAAAGCCATGGGGACACTCGGGAAGTGTCCCCGTGACCCACCCATGATGAGAAAATCAGGGGAGGGCCAGGCTGGTACTCATCCAAAAGATGCTTGAGCAACAGCCATCCCAAACAGGTGCCATATCCCGGCTTACACCCAGAGGCAGAGCAGGAAGTACCGGGCTTCTTTGGGATAAAGATAATTGCCATAAATCACAAAGTAAAGACGAAGTCATTTTCCACGGGTGAGCAGCAGGCCCCACCCACTAGTACGAAAGCAAAAGTCGGAACAAAAAGACAGAGGGAAACGCACCTGGTGGGGCGGCTCTCCAGGCACTGACACGAAGCCAGGCTGGAAGCACAGCTCACGCCCAAGGGCCCTGGCGGGATGTCACCAGCTTCTTTTCTGGGGACAGAAGAATGATGGCAGCTGCTGTTAGAGCAGGTACGAGAGTCTGTTGACGGCTCCATGAGCTAGAAAGACTGATGAGGGGCTGGGTGAGGTCTGACTCCTTTAAGAACCCCGATGATGCTTTGGGCTGCGATCGAAATCACGTGGGCGGAGAGCTGTAAGTTGGTCACACACACACACATGCTCACACACACCGCTCCTTCCATAGCCCAGGGAGGCTACGTCCATTCATTTCACAGCCACGCCCATGGCGTGTCCTGATGTCTCTGTCCCTGAACCTCAAACTCCGAACGTGGAAAGAAGCACCCTGCTCTGTGGAAGGGCCGAGTCTGAGACATAAATCCAGAGCGGCTGTTACAAAATCTCTCTGTTCTCAAGGGGTCTTGGAGTAAGGCCAGCAGGGCTCCAGCTGCCACAGAGGGTCAGCGGGAGAGCTGGGGGTACCCCAAGCAACCCTCTGTGATCCCTCTAGTCCTCACCTAAACTGCACCATCAATGAGACCTCGCAACATTAAAAAGTGTGGAGTTCAAGAAATAGTCCTACACGTATTTCTTCTCTATTCTCGCCGACCTCTAGACCCCAGGCAATAGGTGCCACCTCTGTTTGGAGCGGGTATCAGGCATTTGAGCCTTTATCTGACCATGGAGAAGCGGCAGGGCTGGGATCTGCCATCCCATTTAGGCTAGGGATCAGAAAGTTCATCATTTACGCATGATGAAAAAAGCAATTTCGATGTAGTCTTTAAAGTATAAAAATAAATTAATCTGAATCAATAAAAAAGAGAAATAAAATCATCTACAAATGGATGCTATTCTGTCAGTCCCACCTTGACGGTCACAACCCAGAATGTGAGCTTATTCTAGTTAATAGACCTGTTACAGATTAAAGAAAAAATAGAATAGCTTTTTTCAAACTCTTTCTCTGAATTCTGTCACTACTAAAATAGAACATGTCCCTCCCTCCTACTCAGGTGAAAGACTAATAACAACAGTGATTACAGTTTATCGAGCACTTACTATGTGCCAGGCATAATTTTTGTTTACTAATTTGGTCCAATGAGATTCATGAGAAGACAATGAGATAAAAACGATTCTTAACCCCATTTAATAAAGGAGAAAATTTAAGCACATAGAGATTAAGTTAGTTGCCCTGGGTCACAGAACCAGTGAGTAAATGACCCAGGATTCAAACCCAGACAGGTAAGCAGTGGGCAAACATGTTAACTCAAGTAGACACATGACCTATAGTCTAATTATTTCTATGTGCAGACTACTTCCAAATAATTAAACAGACTCTTTATGACCATCTTTGGTTCTTTCCAGAACCATCACTCCATGGAGCTACTGTTGACTGAGTTTTGGCTGGATTGGGTGAAACATGATAGCAGACCCAGAAGTCCAAGTTTGAATCCCTGTAGAAAGCAAGAAGTGACATACTAGAAGTGGCACACAGACAGCTCTATCCTACGGCTGGCCAGCCAAACAGGAAGTGGATCTGAATACGACCTCGATCCCCTCCTTCAAGTGACAGGGTGCAAGGACGCGGTTCCCAGTTCCCTCCTGCTGTTTAGTTCTCGTTCCCTCCTAAGACAAGAACCTCAGGCCTTCGAGTCCCTCTTTGTCACATTACCATCGAGCCATTCAACAGATGCCTGTTGGTCCCCAAATCTTCAAGACTAGGCGGTCTTAGTCAAGGTCGTTTGACAAAAGTATGGGCTCCTTTTGGAGATACAACATACAACCCCAAATTTCAGAGTAAAAAGAAAACACGAGTCAGACTCCGATGCTTCCCAGGAAACCATTGTTACGGACATAAATTACAACATGACCCTCGTGGGATAAAAGATGCTGTGTTTCTTTGCTTTTCTTAAATCAAATTTGGCTCTGACCCAGAGAGGTCTAAAGCCATTCATATTTTCTTTTTCCCTCCACCTGCGTTTAGGAGGTCTCAGGGTCCCTGAACTTGGCGAAGGGGTGAGGCCCAATATTTAATCCTTGGGGGCACCCTGGTTACCCACTGACTGCCAGGCCTGGCCAATGCCTTCACAGCCCAGGGCCTCCCCATGCCCCTCAAGGCCACCGCCCACGCATCCCCACAGTCACCCACGTCCTGCCCTCCCCTCCCTGTATGTGAGTAGGCATTAGGATCTGGGAAGCCACGTCCTGAGATGGGGCCAAGCCCCTCCTCTACTCAAAGCACCGGAATGTCTCTCTTCTTGGGCAACACACTCTCATTGCTCTCACGGGTTTAGCCTTTTGAAACCGAAGGCCTTCGAAATCTCCCAGAGAACCCTGCTTTGGTGTCTGCCCCTGTCTCCCTAAGTGGAAATGTTCTGGAAACTGTAGCACATATTGCTTTGGTGTCCGCCCGCCCCTGTCGCCCTAAGTGGAAATGTTCTGGAAACTGTAGCACATTTGCAACCTGCATAACGACAGTCTGCACCTGACAGTAATAAACCAAAGATGGAGCCACAATGTGCACCCTCAACGCCTGACCCCAAAGTCCCAGGCTTGGCCATGATGCCATCTCGCTTCTCCAGCCTTGGTGCCTCTTTGCTTTCTCACCGCCAGGCAGAGGGGACAGTGTGGAGGTGACAGTGTGGACAAGAGATGGTCTAGACCAGGCCGTGGTAGTGGAGCGGGGAGGGGGGAGCAGGACGCTCCCGAAAACAGGGCTAGTGGGATTTACCGATGGCTTAGTTGTGGGGTCTGAAAAAAAGGAGACTTAAAGGATGATGCCAAGATTTGGGGCTACATCAGCTGAAAGAATGGGGTAACCATTTTCTGAAATAAAGACGACTCTGGAAAGAAAGGTTCTGATCGGGTAAGGTAGATTGTTTCGTCTGAGCTGCCTCAAGTGAGATGTCCAGTGTGTCCTAAGAGAGAGAGAGAGAGAGGTTGAAATCTGAGGTCCTGTATATTTAAAGTCATTTCTCGAATCAGAAAGCACAAAGCCAATTACTGGGCAGCTATCCAAAGGAAAACACAGAAATTTCATTCTAGTGAATTATTTTAAAATACTACCTACTGGCTTCTGCAGGTGTGTGAGGCAGGGGCAAGGCATTAGCGAACAGCCCATTTCCTGCCCAGAAAGGCCAGTGGAGGTCACCCCATAAATCCAGGAGGGCCCAGCCCCCGGGGCAAATCACCTGTGTCTTCCTCACACCTCTTGCTCGGCCAGTTTCACCCCAGGAAAGCCCAGCTCAACACACACTTTCATTCCCGTTCATTCCCGTTCATTCCCGTCTCCTGAGGGGCTTTCTATGTAAAGCCCACCAAAGAGCCATCTCTGCTGGGCAAACGGTCAGGGGCTGGAGCCTTCTGTCCACCAGGGCAGCCTACCGGCTCCTGCCCAGAGCATCAGCTGCCTCCAGCTCCAGGGAGGTCTGGTTTGGTGTTTTTTTTTTTTTTTTTTTTTCAGTCATCCCAGGCATTTTTCCAAAATAAAGCATTTGCATAGATTTCCCATCCAGCATAATAAATAGCAAGACGACAGGATTTAACAGCCAGGAAAACGTGGGAGAGTTTTGGTCTGGTGGCTTCAACAGGTGTCTGGAGAAGCTGGTGCCTGCCGTGGGTTAGAGCTCACCTGTGACCTTGCTGAACAAGGGCTGGAGGCAGCAGGGGTCCCGGGACGGTGAGGAGGTGGTGGGAATGGGGAGCCCGGTGCCACAGCAGGGAGCCCTTGAGTCTGGACAGGACCGGATCCTCAGCCCGCTCCCCGGACAATCCTCTCGGAGAGAGAAGTGGCCTCTTTCCCATCTGTAGCTCCCACGATACTTCTGCTATGAAACTCATTTTTCACGTTTGTGATGATTCTGAATTGCTCCGCAATGCCCAGGCAGGAGACTGTCACATGCTTTGTTTTTCTAAAGTCAAATCTCGTTCTGATTAAAACCACAATGAGCTACCACTACACACCCATTCGAATGGCTAAAATTTAAAAGGTCGACGATCACGAGTGTGGACGAGGAGATGAAACAACTGTGACTTGCATTTCCAGGGAAGAGGGTGTCGATCGGCACCATTACTTTGGTAATTGCGGGGAGCGGTACTTGGGGAGCTTCTGGGTGCTGGTAATGTTCCCTCTCCCGATCTGGGGGTAGTCACGCAGCTGTGTTTATTCTATGATCATTTATCCTGGTAGACATTTATAATTGGGATTTTTTTTTGGTTTTGTTTTTGTCTTCTTCATAACTCGCTCTATACTGTGTCTCTCCCCACTGCCGCGGTCCAGCCACGACAGGATCCAGGGGGCCCCGAAGGTGGGCAAGGCGTCGGCGTGGGAGACAGTCGACTACACAGCTCAGAGGCGGTGTGACA